GGCGGCCTCTCGCGAGAATTACCCCGCGGGGAGGGGGCTGAGCTTCCAGGGGCTGCAGCGTGGGGCGTTTCATGGGTGGGTGGGAGAGCCCCGGTATAAACTTTCTGCGGTGCAAACGGGTCCTTCTAACTCGAGTGGTTCTCCGATTCTGTGAAGTACTGCTCCTCTTTCACCTTGTCATGAGCCCTGCTTGACTTTGCTGTGCAATCCTCCATAGGGAGTGCTTAAAGGAAAAAAGGAAATGAAAATTGATGAAAAAGCTTATCTAAAGTAGCACTCTGTGGGCCCACGGTAATCTGTCAGGGTCACTGGTGAGTACGAGGCTGCCAAGATGCATCTCAGGCTAAGCGTAGCTCTACTGCTTCTGGAGTCTTAAAAGCTGGTATTAATTGTTGTAAACTTCCTAAGAATTCTTTGTTCCCTTCCAGGGGCTTCAAGCCAGCAGTGATGGGGGAAGCTAAGCTCGCCCTGCCCAGATTTCCCCCTGTCCTGATCTTTCTGTGTGTGTTTGGAGAATAAACTATTTCTCAACACTGCAATAGGCCTTGCGATATCAAAGATATGTATGTGCTTGCTCTCAAGTACATGCCTAAGACTCAAGTCATTAAGTGCTGCAGGTTAAGCATGTTTTGGAGCAGAGCCCGTGGTGTCTTCACCAGGTAGTAAGTACAGAACGTCACAGCAAATACGTAGCGTTAGGGATTTGCATTTAAGGCCACTTAGCTTTTGATCTCGAGCTTGAGATGAGTCTTGTTAGCAGTACTGTGCAAGACAGAAATTTCTGAATGGGATATGGAAGTCTGCTTTTAAAATGTTGGCTTCCCATGTCAAATCTGCTTCTATGCAGTGTAACAGAATGGGACCCTGTCCTCTGTCGCGGTGAGTCAAGTCAACTTTCCAAGCAGCTGAAAGTTACGACTGCTTGCATCTGAAAAGTAACTATTTCCTGGCATTCTGGAGTTTTTAATGCCTTTAACTTGCAAACTCTAGCTTCTTGTTGGTTTTGCTTGTGTTATTTTGCCTTGAAAGAGCAATTGCGCTCAAAGATGTCGCAAACAGCAAAGTCTTCAAAAGCTTGTACTCAATATGAAAAGCTAATGAACAAAATGGCTTTCAAACTCATCTGCAGGAGACCTTGATTTATCTTCTCTGTATAAAGAGGGAGAAATTGTGCCCTAGGGATGGAGGGTGTTTGAGACGTGCCTCCTACTAACTCTCTGTAGTTTAGAATGACTGGGCTGTGTGTATGGGTTGGTAGCTGTGTCTCTCAAGACAGTAAATACTGTGCCGGAGTCCCTGTTGCTGTATGAGAAGTAGCAGATTTCAGTGATGCAAAGCAATAGACCTATACAGACTGATCCTGCCAGTTCACAAAATGAAATTTGAAGAGAAAACTTAAATCCCAATGATTTTTTTTTTTTTGGCAAGTTTTTATACTTTAAACATAGACTGCATTCTGAGTAGACTCTCAACTGCTCACTCACATCCTTTTTATATTTCATCATTTCTTTCTTTCTTCTGGCCATAGCAAAAAAAATACGTTCCTACATGTCACTGCCCTTCTTATATGTATTTTAATTTGGTAACCCTGGATTGGAAATTTTTTTCCCTGCCTCAGCTGTTGGTATGAGAATTTTGTCTTAGATCTGCTCTTGCACCTTTACTTACTTGGTATTCACTTTGGGAACTCACATCTTACCTACTCAGAGTGACAGTGATTGCATTCAGAGCTCCTTCCTGATATTAAAATTCTAAGGAATGGTAGTCAGACATTTTTGGGATTTAAAAACCTGAATGGTATCAGATATCAATTTTACACAGCAAGTTGTGGCATTTGTACAGCCTCAGATTTAGCTGCTCTCTATATGATTCAGACTAAGCCTTTTTCCTCCAGGACTGGAAACAAGGAGGATCCAGTTTCCTCAGCTGTGGTACATTTATGGAGAGAGATTGTATTTAGTTCCCTAAACATGGGCCTGCTTCTGGTATCACAAAATGGAGTGGATTGAGGCTCGTTGTTCCTACAGAGTAGGAACAAGGCAAGTTCCAGAAGGACCCAGTGTTCCTACAACTGATGTGGCAGTTGATTTGTTTGATCCTAAGAGCAGCATGTCTTTCACGGATTTCAGTCTTCAGAGCTTTGCTTATGCCTGCTGTAACTACTGGCTTCACAGGAGTTATGTTGGGGTGGACTGATCACATATCACATTTTTTATTTTGGTTTTAGTAGATAACTTGAATCAATGATCCTGTTTCTTTCTTCCAGTCTCACTGCCAAGAAATTGTGGTCTCTGGCATTTGGTGTTCCTCTGGTTTTGACTGACTGTGATCAGAAGGAAAATACGGCACTAGACAACGATACTGTTGGTACTTACAAGCAACGATCAGCATACAGGGTCCAAAGAGAAATGCAGACTGAGGAGCACTTCCAGGCATACTTTGAAAGAAAACTGTCCTCCACCTTGGGTGGAGCACTACACATCCCTCGAGAGAACAGACGGCTACAGTGCAGGTGAGTTCTATCCCAGGAATTTATCACGTGTAAAGAAACTAAGGAGACTCTTCAGCCCAAGTGTAAAAAAAGGTGCTAACTTTCCCATAGCTGGTAATTAAAATGCTGAACTGCACTGATTGATAACTGAAGGAGAACATCCAGTTACACCATCTCTCACCTGAAGTGTGCAAGATCAGCTTAGCACCGCACTGTTATTTGCAATCTGCAGAAGTGTCTGTTCACGTCAGGACTATGATAGTGTGAAGGATATATGCACTGTAAAGTGAAGTTGCCAATAGTTATAGTTCCTTCCAGTGCTTCCCTAAGCCCAGCTGTCAGACACAGGCTTTCGTTTGCTTTTTTTCTGATTTTTTGATACTTTTATTTCTTAAATTTCAAGAGCCTTTTTCTGTTCTCTGTTAGCTGGGGACATGCAAAGTTGCATAATGGTATGACTGAGATTGACTGAACTGGTCTGGCATTATTTTGGAGCTACGTTCCTGTGTTCTTTGAGAACGGGTGAGGCTAGGTTACTGATAAAGCATCAGTGCTTCCACAGCCTCATTTTCCCATCTGCCAGAATTTTCTTTTGGGCATTATACTGGGAGTAGAAGCATCTTTTCTGCCAGAGGAGCCCTGCAGGCTCACCAGAAAGCGGTCTTTGTTGGCAGGATAGGAGAATTCCTGATGTTCTTCCAGAAAGGCAAATATAATAAAACATAGGCATCCCGTTCATCAGCTTCCATTTTAGTTTTGTCTGACTATGAATAGTCTGTTTTCTTTCTGAATCTCTTTGGATGCAGAGTGGACTGTCAATGGTTATGGCTGTGTCTACTCTACAAAGTACTCCTAAGAAAGTAAATACAAAATTTATCATTTATCTGGGCTTTGTTTCAGCATGTATACTGAATGTATACTGAAACTTAAACTGTTGTTTTGAGACCATGGCAGGACTTGAGACTCAAGTCTAGCTATGGGTAAGGTTCCACAAGGTGTGGTGAGCTAATCTAACAGCTTGCTGCTGCCAGAAGGGACAGGACCACACAGGGAAAGGAAAGTAGGGAAGCCAGACCTCTCTCTTACATCAGCTCAGCTATGTGTGGGATTGTAGCCTAAAACTATGGGTCACATCTAACTTACGCTGCTGTAAAGTAATTTCCTGGTGATAAGTGAAGGCAAATGGAGCCATAGTTTGAGTCGCTATTGTGTTTTCTAGTTTTCATTCACCATGAAGACCTGTCATCAAGATTAACTGCTGTAATAGTGAGATCCTTTAGATTATGCAATAGCCTTCTGTTCCAGCACTGTCTTTTTATATTTTATTTAAAAAAAAAAAAAGATTAGATGAGGTTCTGCAGTCAGAGAAACAAAATTATGTGATGGAAAGGGTTGAATTGTGTATAATTATGACATGTGACCATGTTAACAGTCTGTCCATCCAGAAACACCTGGTGCAATAAAATAAGTCTTGCCCAGAGATCAAAGGGAGAGTTCTAAAGGTATAGCTAATATTATGGAAACTTTATCATTGCACTTGCTGCTTAATAAGAAAATCTCCTTATTCCCTCCCCCAGCTCATCATTTAAGAACTGTGTCTGCCTTACTTCCTCATACTCTTTTCCCTGTTTCTTTTCCACTTCCCTATCATCTCATGTGTTTTCTCTGTTCTCCATTTTGTATCTGCTTGTCAGCCCAGCGTTAGTCACCTTGGGTAATAAAATGATGGAAAGAGACTCAACTCTGTAATGTTAACTGGGAGTCAGTCCCCACAGCCTCTGTTCAAGGCTGCCAGAAGCCTTGAGCAGACACTACATCATTTATGTTTGGTTTGTAAGCACAAAATCGCCAACACTGCCAGGGGATTAAAAAGGGGAAGAAGGGGCACAGGGTCATGGGGTTAGTCAGAGTTTACCTACTGGAAATTCTGATTCAAAAACATAATAGGCAAAAAAAATCATGTAGGTCAAGTCCTGCTTGCATCCTCTTATTAAATAATGTAACACAGGAAACATTGGACTGTTTTTTGGGAGGTGGGATAGACTTCCCTATTTCCCCCCCTAGACATAGTGTTTGTATGTTTTTCTTCTACATCAGAATAGGAGGAATCAAAATATCATCTCCTATTTTTTTTGCAGTGTTAATGAGGTCAAGTAATTGCTGCATTCAGTGAGCTAGGCTCCGGCTCTGACAGGCTATGGTATGAATGGCACACAGAGTATTTGCGATTCATTTGAATGGAATACAGAGGCATGGAGGTGCCTATGTAGGATTCATGTTATGTGCCAGTTGGATCTGCAGAAGGCTAAAATGCCTGTGCAGGTTCACAGGATACGGTGTCTGCAGAGGTAACCGTAGGAGCGTGGCTTCTGTGCCCGCAGAGCATGAGGCCATGCTAAAGCGCTGCAGAAATAGAGATTGTAAAAGGCATTGCATATAGCTTAGCTTGTCTTGATTCTTTTCAGCTTCTCCTGGGGAAGGTTCAGAAAGATCATGCTCAAGGTGTTCCCTGTCCTGAACTGGCTGTTTTCGTATCGGTTCAGAGAATGGATCTTGAGGGATCTACATGCAGGTTTAAGTGTTGGGATGGTTCAGATTCCTCAAGGTAAGAAAGGAGAAAAAAACTCTCTAATTTCCTTTGGTGTATCATGCTTTTAATAATCCATCTCCTGTGTGTGTTTCTGTTCTTTCTGGTGTCATCAGGTTATGTGGGAACTTTTAACCTTGGAAGTTCCTTAAATCATTAACCTGTTTATTTGCAGGAGAACTTCTTTTCTATAATCAGATGTTACATGGTAGTGTCAAGGACAGGACACTATTCAAAATATAAAGTAATAGCAGCATTTTCCTGTATTGCAAACAAAATAGCATGGTCTTTAAACTCCACCTTGCGGAATCAGGTCTGTGGGATACTCACATGCATAATCACCCCGCTAATAGGTGGCCTAAATGAAGAATTGTTCTGGTTCTTTGTCTAATTTCTAGTTAGCAAGAGGCCATATTGTAAAACAGTACTGGCTTTTCTCACTAACTGGCCTGACGTTATCAGGTCCTGAACTGGAATTTTCATAAAGGTGGTCAGGTTTTAATCAGCTTAATTTTACTTAAAAATAGTAACCAAAGATAGAGAGCCTTCCCAATTTGCTTGATTTTAGAGACAGATTTTTGCTTTCCAGGACTTTTAGGAGTTTGGCTGACCAGGTTACCTCTGCCCAATATCAATGGCTTCCTTTCTGCGTTCTGCTGCTCCATGATGTATGTTATATTTGGGACTTCGCATCATATCTCAGTAGGTGAGGTTTATTTTGTGCTGTGAAATGTTTTTGCAGGACTTAGAGGTTATGTTCAATGCTGCTTCAAAAAACTGGCGAGATGTCTTAATCTATTTCATCTAATATGCAGATGTTATTTAGGTGAGAATCCAGACCTCCAGATTCTCAGTTCATTGTTGTTCCACTTCTGCAGCTGATCTGTGATGAAAATTTCACCCAGTCAGTCAAGTTTCAGCTGCGAGGTCCTTTGTACCCCTGAGGATGTGAGCTATCACAGACACCAGCGCAAAGGAGATGGCTGGAGTGTCATGGAGCATCTCCTATGTACAGGACCAGTACAAGCTGCTTCATATTTACCCCCAGGATGTTACTGTGAATCATCGTTTGGCTCCTGGTCTTCTCCATGGTCTTCTACATGCAGTTTCTTGCCATGACTGAACTGTCGATGGGTTTACATTCTTAATTTGTTCAGAAGCTAGATTATTAAAATACTGTTTACATGTGAGAAGGCCCTTCACGTTATCATAATGAGTGGGTATGTGGAGCTCTGGCCTCTTAGGTGACTTGGCAGTTCTTTCTCTGACTATGTTTTTTCAGCCTTTCTGGCAGCTCATTGTAATGAATCCATTTTTTGTGCTTTACATTAAAATCTTTTTGTTGTGCATCGGACGAACTGAAGACTTCACTCATGAAATGGTGGGAATCTGAAATTTTCAGACAGGACTTTGAAAACTTTAGGTGCTTACTCAGAAACAGTAAAAATGAATTATATATGTGGATTATATATATGAATGAAAATAGACTATCTAGGCAGGGGAAAGAGATGAATGTGTGGTTTTAAGATAAGTCTTCGTTGCAACACTTCATGCAGTTCCATTTTCTGTTCTCTGTTCTGTTGGTTCCAGGCTCATTCAGCATCCTAAATGTGGTAGCGACAAACATTCTGAAGACTCTTAATTTCAACCAAACATTGTCCTCTAATGGTTCACTGGAAAACTTCTCAGACCCTACATTTATGAAAGATTACGTGGAGGCCTTGACACTTACCGCTTCAATAACATTTTTGACTGGCATCATTCAGGTATTTTATATTTTATATTTAATGATGTATCCTTATGTGCATTCTTCACACAAATGTAAGAATTGGTACTGCTTGCATATTCGTCCCACGAATACTAAGCTCAGCCCATTTGAATACATATATCGTGCAAAAGTGGGACATGAAGGTCTGTCTTCTCCTCTCATGCTGTCTGAAAAAGATATGATAGGTTAAGATTCATGTGTCCACGATTAATATATTAATGTGTGAAGTAAATTATTATCTCTTATGTTGACCAGTTCTGCAATATGTGAACCCTTAGGTAGTCCTGCATAACTGCACGCACTTGCTTGAAACTGCTCCTATTTTGGTTTGGCAGTGTCTTACTTAATTGTGTATAATGAAAATAGCATATTCAAATAACTATCTATCTACCATGTATGAAGAAGTGAAGAGTCATGCTTTTAAAATATGAAAACAAGAAGGGCGGGTTTAGACTTTGACAATTATATCACATCTCACTTCTCCTTTGCTCCATACAGTTGCTGCTAGGCTGCTTCTGCCTGGGGTTCGTAACAACATACGTGCCGAAGACTCTCATTGATGCTTACCTGACTGCAGCAGCAGTGCATGTCATTGTATCACAGTTTACCTTTATCTTTGACATCATGCTTGACTTCCATAAGGGCCCCCTGGGCATTTTCTATGTGAGTAAATTCATTATTAGTCAAAGAAATGCATGTTTCTTGGAGGGGAAAGAAAAGTACAGCTTCAGAAATTGAAGGCAATTTCAATCTAAGTCAGTTGCTAAGGGATATTTGTGCAAGTCTCAGCTGAGGTTTACTTCACCTTCCTGTTGTCTTGAACATTGTATGGAGCTTATTGTGTGACATACAAGAAGAAAAGTCTGTATGCATATTTTTAATAGGCAGCTCTATAATACATCTTTAGCACGCCTATAATTGTAGAGCAAAGGTTAGAGGAAAATGGTACTTTCTTCCTCAATAGACCATCATGGGCAAGCTATTGGACACGCAGCATCTTTATCATATCTGACAAAAAAGCAGCAGATTCCAAGCTAAAGACAAGTTAAAGCTAATTCATCCTAATTTACTTTAGTTATGTCAATCAGACAACTTGAGAGAAAGGTAGTGGAGAAGAGAGAAGAATGACGGTACTAGATCTGAGCTACTTGTGGCAGTATTTTCTCTGCAGATACCAATAGACAAGACAGATTTTTATTTTTTTTAAATACTGTTTTTCTCTTAGCATCTCTCTTCTTCTAACTGACAATACCACTGTAGCAGAAAGGATGTGTTCAGGTGTCAGGGCAACCTATGTCAATCTCGTAGAATATAAAAATAGTTGTGGTATCTGCCTCTGATCCTCTCTGTGATGATTCTTTTTCAGAATCTATTTCATTTCTTCCTGGCTCTCCCAAAGGCTAATGCCACCAGCATATTGCTATTTTTGCTTAGCATGGCCGCACTACGAGTCAATACATCTATCACGATAACTTATAAACATAGTCCTATTGCATTTCCTATGGAACTTCTCTTGGTGAGTCATCCCCAAAATGCCATTGCGATAATTGAACTAGCAGAGATTCTAATATACTTTATTTCAAAAAGCATTTTACATATTACTTCAGGATGCTGTTATATTTACACACTGAATCTGTGCTTAAGCCCTTTAAATACTCATGCAAGATTAACTGTCTTTAGATGTATTGAGCACAGTTTTAGGAGCAAATGGTGTATGTATAATCTCTGGTATTGCTTCTTGTTTTCTCTCCCAGATCATCACAGTCACCATTATTTCTAATCGCATTCATCTTCATGCTGAATCTAGTAGTGCTGTGGTCAGTATGATTCCTCAGAGGTTAGTTATCTATGCTGTTAATGAGGTTGTACTTTTGAGATATGAAAGAGATGTTCCTGAAATCTGAAGTGGGCTGACTTTCACTGGGAAGTACAGCTAGAGGAATAACTCTTCAAGATATTTAATTGCATCGTCATTTCCAAGCATATGCAGCATTCAAAGTACAGTTTTCTTTATTAGATTCAGGTTTTCTTTATTAGCACACAGAGGAAGGAATTTGCATTTTTTGTGAGGTAGAAGTCTTAGAGATTGAGAGCATCTCCTGTGGGGTGCTGGATGCCTCTGATCTGGAGTTACTGTGGACAGAGCTCAGAACAGATCTAAACTTATCTTATCTCTGATCCTGTAGGTTTCTGCCTCCTACACCGCCAGATTTATCAAACCTGAGCAAGATCATACTGCATGCCTTCTCCCTTGCTATTGTAAGCTATTTCCTTCTTGTTTTTGTTGGGGAGAGGTATGCTTCACTTCACAACTACCATATCGCCAGCAATCAGGTGAGAACAAAGCTACACGTACTTCATAGGCCAGGAAGCAAGCTGGACTCGACTTGCAAAGCCACTAACTACCTGACAGTGGTAGAAATGCAAGGACGGAGTGAATACGCCAGATGATGGTTTTGTAGCAACTGGTTACCCTTCCCTATGGAAAGTGGGTGTTATAAGTCGATAATTTGAAGGCCAAAACATGGCCGCCTTTGACCAAGAAGCCTTTCTGTATTCCTAGTGATTGGGATGAACTTCACACAAGCGCAGTGCTGCAACTGATCCCTGAGGACTGTTGCTGTCGTGAATCCATGAGACTATAAAAGCATGATAAATCAATAGCTGAAATTGTAAATGGTCAGAGCAGCTGTAGTTCTTCTCTATATGTGGCTGCTCTCCCAGTGTATGGATTCTCTGCCCAGAGCGATTGCTAAAACTGTGTTAGTTGCCAGCATGCTAGAGTTAGTACGTGTTAGGTGTTTTGCGCTACTCCATGTTTAGCTGCTTGTGATGGCTTTGGATCTTTACTAGAATGGAACTAAGCCAGTAAGGAAGCTGGCCCGCCTTCTTAAAGCCTCCGGGGATAAATATAAAGGGAATGTCTGTTCTGCTCAGTTTTTGTCCAGGTGTACTATGCTGCATACTGAGATTTGCCACATGTTTGCTTGCAAGTCAGTGCTTCATAGCTTTGGGGTTCTACATGGATTTCTTTGAAAGTAGAAACTGAATTTTTGACTCCATCAGATCCTCAGCTGTGAAAACTGTATGCCTTTTAAGAGAGCTCATTTAACCGTAGGAGACCTTGCTTTCCAGAAGGTTTCCTGAGTTTAGCAACACAGATGAGCAACCAGCAAGCGTGAGCAAAAGGAAAGGAATTCCTGATAAGCTACGTCTGTGAAGGTAAGGCATTTGTTTGGGGTTTTCTCTGCTTACTTCTGTTTCTGTTTTACAGGAGCTAATAGCTGTGGGGCTATGCAATATTTGCAGCTCATTTTTCAAAAGCTTTGTTGTCAGCTGTGCTATTTCTGGAACTGTTATTCAAGAGAAGACAGGTGGAAGAACACAGGTGAGCTGGGCTGAATTTGTTAAGCTTCCGAACTCTCATCTAAAACCAGTGTATACGGAGTATAGGCTGACATTTAATCTAAACAATTTGTGAGGTGTTAAGTTACATACCCATGCAACATGAATTTGGATACCTTCTCTGTATATGTTATAGAATGTATTATACCTCTGTGATATTTACAGTACGTGATGTGCCATGAAGAAAGCCAGGGTCCTGTGGGGAGAGTAGGATATGTTCATGCAGTTTAAAACTGTATTTTAGTGAATATACCCCAAAAGCCAAGTGGAAAATTGTTCACGCACTCTTAATTCTGCACTTTTTCCTAACTTTTCAGTACTTGACTTTGTGAACTTTTTTTTTTAGAAGGAAAAGAAAGTGCAATATATAATAATAATAAAAATATATAATGTTTTCATCATACCTCCTAACTGAATGCCTGTACCCACTTCACTGCATCATAGAAGTAATTATGTTTAATAAAGAGTTTATTCCAAAGTCTGACTTGCGAGATTACTCAGGTGAAATTATCAAACCAAAATCCTGCATTGTGCTGTTGTGCCTAAAAACAGTCCATTTAGGCCAAATTTATATACTCAAAAAACTCTTTCAGCTTGAGTATTCTAGAATTTGTACCATGCATTGCAGCACACCTGTGGCCTTTGTTAATTGTCCCCTGGTTATTTTTGCCAGTCGGTGGCGTTACACGAGCCATACCTGCTTATTTAGAGAGGACAAGTAAGGAAATGGTCTGTCAGACCTCTCTAATATAAAGTATTTCTGTTCAGCTAGCAGCAGCGATTGGAGCATCTATGATGCTGGTGATTGCGCTGAAACTAGGACACTTTTTCCAGATGATACCTAACGTAAGTGAACCAGGAGTAGTTAAGGCAGCAGTCTACTTACTTTCTAATCATAAAAATGAAGATTTTCTAAGCATAATAAGATTTTTCTGCAACAGTTAGGGGTTATATCATGCTCTAGAGTTAACTGTGTTCAGGGATGGACCAAACCAAAACAATGACTGTAAACTCCTAAAATTCAGCAGGCTAACACATTAGGTAATAAATATTGCATCTCTGTCCCATCTCTCACTGATCAGTATGAGCTAAAATTCCTTGGTTAAAACTGGACTGAAACTTCACTGCCAGCGTCTATAACTTAAACATTGTATTTTACTTTTGGTCTCACATCTTCCAAGCTTCTGCACACCCGTATAGCAAATCCATGAGTTCTTCTCTTGCATGGGTGTAAGTAGTTCTAAGATAGATGCTTCAAAATCTTTAGTGTAAAGAGGTAAATGAAATCGTTGAAATGGAAATTTGGGTTTAGTGTCTCTTGATTCTTGCTTGGTCTTTGAGGTTTATTTTAAAACCATATGGACTCCTACCTTCTGTGGATTTTGCATTGCCAGTGTGCCTATAAACATTTTATTATTGTAGATTATTCAGAGTACTCAGTTTTCCACTTTTCCCTTCAATTTTTATATTGACTTTCTTTTTTTTCTGTAAGTTTTCTTAGGGAACCACTGACAGAGCATTACTTCCTGATTTTTTCCTGGCCTCTTTGTAAGATAGGAGAATTAATCCCTTTCCCAAAACTAGCTGACAAAACACAATTTAACCATCTACTTCCTTTCAGTCTCCTTTTCTTTGCTAAGCAAGGCTGTTTCAACAAATGGTGTCAAACAACTTCCTAAATCTGACAACGAACTACCCATGCTCATTGAAACCATTCTTTGAAACAGCAACTCTTAATTCTGTAGATAGTGTTGGCCTTTCTCCTAGTCCTGCAGGAGGTGTAGGGATTCACTGAACACTGTAACAGAAACTACACGTAGCATTTCAAGAGGAAATCCCTTTGTATTGGCAGAAGTGACTGTGAAATCCAAGTAGTTCTATGCTGGTTTCATGTTGGTTTGCGATCAGAGGAGAACTGTTATCTATAAAAAATATGGAAATAAAGCTAATATAAGATTTTAATTTCAAGCAGTTTGTCATGGATATCTGTTCCTTAGCATGTTTGCGGTTGCAAACAAAAAATAACAATAATAGATGCTATTTTTCTGATCTGCACAGGGTATGCTGGCTGCTATTGTAGTATTTAACGTGCTCCCCTTTCTTGAAAAATTTCTGGACATCCCCATCCTGTGGAGACGGGATAAGTATCATTTTGTAAGTGACAAAAAAAGCCTTAAAAGGAGAAATGGATGTTTTGGGATGGCGAGGCTTTGCAGTGGTCATTCACTTAGAAAAGGGATCCTTTGAAGTATCTGCTGAAAGAAGTGTATTGAAATGTCTTCAAACCAATTTGCAGTTAATTCTATATGGGGAGAACTGATTATTGTTGTTGCCTCCCAGAGAAGGAAATTGTCTAGCTGCCAGTTGGGGCCACGTTCTCATGTCAGCTCTTGTGCAGGATTTCTCATAAAGGGAAAGACCCCCAATATGATGTGGTTTTTCCTAGTAATTGAAGCCCTGTTAAAAAGTCTGGAGATTTGAACTGTGATTTTTGACTCCTGTGACTACTTCCAGGACTGGTTTGGTCTAGATGTGCCAACAAAGCTTTTCACGTATTGCCATTTCTAGCCTTTTTCTTTTTTTTGTATGCAATTTGCAAATGCCAGGGCCGAGTTGGAGGTCATTTTTCATCTCTTTGTTGCTCATGTTCTCTCCGTCTCTTGTTCAAAGGTTATCTGGCTTGTAACTTTTGCTGCAGTGCTTTGTCTTGGTCTTGAGGTTGGTTTAGCGATCGCCGTGGGATTTACATTCTTCATAATCACCGTTAGGTCACACAGGTACTTGTAACTTTTAAAACAAAACACTAGTTTTTCTTAGAGTTGATGTCTTAGAGATAGTTATACATGTGACAATGAAAAGGCTGTTTCGTGTTTGTAAACGCTTCGGTCTGGTCATTCTGGAGTGTCTATAATGCTGTCCCAAACCAGTAATCTCTTTGAGTTTATGGGCTCTGGATCGGTCCCTTCTGCAGGTGTACCACGCGACTGAAGATTGCTTATTGTGGTGTAGGCATCAGCCAGGACAGGTGATCTGTATACACGCTTCTACAAGGATAAAATGAGATGTCGTGCCTTTATTTCAACCACATTCCTCAGTCTTCGCTGCCATTTACTAAGTGGCTTTATCTTCTCCGTTAACTCGGTTCGTGATAGGGGAGGGAGGTTACATCAGGCACACATTACTCAGTTTATTAGCTGCTAATCCAAACAGGAAAATCATTCATAAATCCAAGACACACCTCGTGAGATTCACCATGATAGGGAGGCGCTTGCCTGAGTAGACTGAAGCCTCTAGAATAACATGGAAAGAGCTAGGAAATAACTCAGTTGCAAATACCAAATGGCTTGTGATCTGATCCAGAGTGGCTCTGAAAAAATGCCTTCAGGAAGAATTTCAGTTGCTGTCTGAAACTCACTGTATTACCTCTCCTCAGAGTTGCGCTCTGGAATTGCCTTGGGATTTAAGGAGCATTGTGAAGGGCATTTCTTCAGCCACTGTTCAGTTGAGTATCCCTGTTGTCCATACTACTGTCAGGATATATAACTGCTTATCAATTTCCTGCCAGTGAGAGCTGACAACACTCAAAAAAGCATGGGAAGTTATCTGCAAACAGAGATTGGTTTGAATAGAGTGTCTTGACAACAATTTTCCATACATCAGGGCCCACTGACTTCCAGTTCTCCAGCAACCAGCCAGTCAGCCACATATTTATTCCACCCATGCCCTGAACTGACCAGAACCTGCCCCAAAACCATGCAGCACCATTAGCAAAGCATGGTACCCAAACCAGGATATTCTCCTTCAAGACAAAACCCTACATTAATGCTACTACACGGCCTCTGGATCAGACCTAAGCTATGTGCCGCCAGCTCTAAGCGTGAGTTACAGCTGCCTCCACCTGTCCATGTAGATGTATCTTTGAGGAGGGCTGTGGGGAGACAGAGAGGGAACATACTTCCAAGTGCAATAACAATAATCCAAGTGTTCCCAGAGCTAGAAATGGGACATTATACATACTTGAGAACACCAGTGTAGCTGAAGGTTGTGTTTGTGTACTGCGCCCCTACTCAAAGAACCCTAATTATGAGTGAATAACTTTTTGTACTCACACCCCTAAGTTACAGTTCGTGTAGACAGTGGAGAGAAATGGAGATCAAGCTTTTGGGAACAGATGGGTTTTCTCTGTTCTTTGTGAAAACGTAATAAACATCTTGTTTCAGAATGAAGATGGTGGTGCTGGGACAGATTCCAAACATGGATATTTATAGAAGTTTATCCATCTACAGAGCCGTAAGAAGAAACAAAAACCAAACGTTCCACCTCTGTAATCCAGTTTCTTCCCTTAAATGCCTGGGGTGACCATTCAGACTCAGTTCATTTGATTCAAAACTTTGAAAACTGAAGAATGCTTAAGTGTGCGTAGTATGAAGTGATGTGGATTCCTAGCTCAGCCTGCTTGGGCCTGTGGAGCTCCTTGTGTCCACTGTGCTGTCTCCACAGTGAAAGCAGCACTGCTGTCATTTCCAGAGCTGTTTGGCTTTTTTTGTTTGTTTGTTGTTTTTTCTGACCTGCTTTTCTCAGTCTGGTTTTGTCCGCTCTACATATGTTTTCACAATAACAACTGTGCATGTGCTAGACTGACTCACCGGTTCTCCCGATGATGGGATAATGGGTAGGGCATGGGCCTCTTGAACACGTTATTTCCAAGACCTGCACCATACAGAATTAGGCAATACAGTGGTAGAGAGCTTTCCCTTTGCCACAAGGGTCCATACGTTCTCAATGCTATGCTGATGGATTTGCACAAAATGGAATAGTATAAGAACAAGGTTAGTAAGACAAGGTTCTAGTGTATGTTTTCTGTAATAAGCAATAAAAATAATTTGGCTTTTTTGATATTAGAGCACCCAACTGTCATCTGTGATAGATCTGCTTGAGGTGTGTTTTTAATTGCAAGAGAAGCAGGTTAATTTATGGTAGTTAGGCCCATGTTGCCAATGCCACTACAAATATGCAGTGTAGTCATCAATGTGACCAGACAAACTCTGTCCTTAGGGTATGACCTTGCAACTACAACACAGACAGTTAGGAGGGGGGGAAAATAGCTCCTGCTAGGTACAACCCTTGCAGATACAACTTTTGTTTTACAGGCAAAGGAGATTGATGGTATCAAAATCTTCCAGTGCTGTTCTTCCATCTCTTTCACAAACGTGAATCATTTCAAAACCTATTTGTTACATGAGGTAAATGCCACTTTTTCAGTCAGCGGAAGTTTCTTAAGAGCCTGCATTAGGGAGATAAGAACTCTAATAAAACTGCCTTTCTTTTTCAGATGGACATGAAAGCAGTGCCTCTAGCTGAAAGTGAAGTGAGGGCTTTAATTTCATTTAGTCTGTCTGACACTTCAGTGGAAAGAAAAGATCTTAAATGCTCTTGTGTCTGTGATCCACCTCTACCACCACCTAGGGTCAGCTTAAAAAGTATATTTATCTAGTCTGTTTGGTTTGCGTGCCTGGTTTTATATTACTGAGGACAATGTTCTTAACTTGCCAGTACTGAAAAGGCTGTAAATGTTTATATAAAGCATATATATATTTGCTGCATGAAAATAAGCAAACATTACCACTGTATTTCTTTACGCATACTTTATGTGATAGAGCAATAATAGTTCAGCTTACTGGGTGAATTAACTAGCAGTTGAAGTATTCAACATATCCTCTCCTCAGCTGAAAAAATTAATTTTGTCAGGGGCTTCAATAGGGATATTCTTCTTTTTCCCCATAGAAGTGAGAGGATTCCCTTGCTTAGGAGGAATTTGTCCCACTGCCAATACTGCCAAGTGCAAGTATAAAATACCTCAAAGGTAGCTCCGATTATCATGGTTAGAGGATTTCTCATCTTTACTATAATTGATCGCTGTGCATCTTCTAAACTCATATCCCTCTTTATCTGAATTTTCTGAATTGTCTGAGACAATGAAAGGAACTTCAGGGAATGGACTGTTTTCAGAAGATACTTTTCAAGCAGTCATATGTGATTTGTAAAAGCCATTGTATGAAAAATGGGTTGAAAGACATGTTGAAAGACATTGGAAAACATGTGGCACCAAGGTGCTTAGGAGTGGAAGCAATAGATAATTTAACATCATCTTCTGAAGTACAAAAATGCAGAGAGTGACTTTTCCTTTCTTGCATTATAAAAATTAAAAAACACATTTGAAACTATTAAGAAAAATTGATTAAATTTGTCCATTCTGCGACAGCTGCCATACAAGGAAGGAGATGAATCAAAGGTCTGCAGATCTCAGCCAGTAAGGGTCAGCTTACCGTCTCTCAGAAAGGCAATGGCCATGGGCAATCTTTTTTTCTTCTTTTCTTTTCTGAAAGGTAGAAGTAACAAGTCAAGGTGTGGAAGAGTGAGGTACCACTGTACTGTTTGGGGGCTGAAGGCACTCTGCTGACCACATCTGAGGCTTGCCTAAGTCACCTGCTACTTTGCATACTCTTGTGGCTTGGTCCTGTATTTAGTGTTATTTCAGATGTGGTTTTTACCATGAGAGAAGAAACATGATACGATTTACCGTGCTGTCTTTCTTGCAGCAAATAATATTCCACCTCCTGGGCCCAATTTTTCCAACCACTGGTGTACTCTCCATTTTCCATCTTAGATACCATATACAGAGAAACTGGTGAAGCGGCATCACGCAGACAGCGATTCCTCATCATCTTCAGTTAATCTGGTACATTGGTCAAAGTATGGAGACAAACTCAGCTCTAGGATGCTCTTGGTGGGAGCAGCCAATGCATCCTCAGGCTTTAACACGGGACTTACGACTGAAAAGAAGGAGGGCGAAAGGAGAAGAGGTTGCCTTTCACCACTCTCTCCGATAGATAATTCCTCAGTACAGTTAGATCAGGAAGAACAGCCAATGCATTTGCCATGTCCAGTTCACACCATTATTTTAGACTTCAGCATGGTACAATTTGTGGATTTGATAGGTTCAGAGTTAATGCGACAGGTAAGGAACCTAACTGCACAGAAATGTGAAGCCTAAATTTTACCCAATGTCTTATGTTTCCTGTTAGCCTAAAATGCCCTGCCACATAACAATCCGCACATCCTAAATCTTTTAAGTGTGCAAGATTTAGCTATCGAGTTTCAGAAATTAATAAATTCTCATAGAATGACTTTTTTTTAAAAAAAAGCCCCACTATCTATGCAAAAGCCTGTCATCCATTGTCATCAGTTCTAGAATCATGTTAACTAAAACCACATTTATAAAAATGTCTAATTTGGTTTTTTCCATTTTGACTGTTTATTTCTTCTTCCAGCTGGACACATAAAAAAAAAAAAGTTCTTCTTTAGAAGTGTCAGATAAAATACTACCAGCTTTCTCCTAGAGTGATTTTGTTGTTATTGCTGACTGCCTAATTAGCCTTTTCTTTGAAGTATGCCTTGAACTGTTAAATCTTCAAGTGGGGATCCTATCCAATCGATATATATATTTAGCAAAAATAAATTTCATGTAGCTGTGCTTCTCAGAAAGATACAGTTCCAGATGGATTCTCAGTCAGCTCCCTCAAACTCTGTAGCTCCCCTTCAGAAGTTTTTGTTTAATAACAGGTTAGCCTAACACCTGTTGGGAATAATTGCGGACTGAGCTGTTGTTCCTAAAATCCTTGAAGATTTATTTGCCATCCATTGAATGATCCTCCTATTGGGAAAGTGGGATAAAGTCAGAGTTTTTCCAGATGCCTTCCATATTCTGAAATTCTGTGATTCTCTGAAATAAAGAGTTTCATTCCCTTAAAAAAACAAAAAACCACAAAAAAACCCCACCAAACCCACAACAACAACTACTTTGAGATGTGTTGATTAAAAGGGTCAGGCATTGAGAAAATGGGGAGAATCTATCCTGTCTAAAACCTGGTTCCTTTAAGTTGATATATCTAAATGTTGAACATGAAAATTGAGACAACCAGAATTACAGGTCACACTTGAAAATACGGGTTCCTATTCTCATTTACACGTGGGCATGGCATCTGCGTATGGAGAGATGTTTCAAATTAGTCTGTTCCTGTGAGAGGCTTTTTGTTTAAGTGAAGAAATAACACCGTGTGCTGCGTAGCGAAGTGTAGGAGAGCCAGCATGGGGTCTGGCTGTGATCTGCCCTGCTTCTGGGGTCAGCGTTCATTAAGATCTTGGACAACTTGGCTGTTCAGTGCTGAACTAAAAACCAGGATTTGAGATGGCAGAAGAAGGGTTTTCTTCAGAGAGAAAATACTACAAGGGAGGTTTTACTTCCCCATTTACGTTTTACCTTCTAGTGCACCTGTATAATGCAGAATTGCTCTAATGCCTGTATGGAATTAATTCTTTCCACAGATCATCCATATGTTTCAAAATACTGGCATTACAGTCCTTATAGCTGGCTGTCACTGTGAGTATAGTATTTGTTTGCTAGTACAGACTTACCTGCAAGGATAAGTTTTAAACTTAAGTGAAATGTTTTAGCTGTACTGCTTCGTATGATTTTGCTGCTTTATTTATTTTCCTATTTTTTATAGCCTCTGTGATAGCAGACTTTGAGAGGAATGATTTCTTTGACAGCTGTGTCACCAAAGGAAGGTTCTTTCTAACTCTTCATGATGCTGTGCTGGCTGCTTTGGACAAGCATCAAAAGCCAGATGAGGTAGAACCTAGTGCGAAAGAGTCTGCTGAAAAACCACCAGCTGAACAGCAAAAGGTAGAATATTTAGCTTAACATTTAAGCCTTCATGTTGTTAAATTATCCTGTCTGTAACTTAACCCGTGTCATGCGGCTGAGGAAATAGGGCAGAGCAGATGCTCTTTTGAATTCTTGTTTTTCACAGGTACTAGCCTTTCTGTAATGGATAGAGACAAAAAATCAGTAGTCCAATTTGTTTCTCTGAGTCCTGTGTTCCTGTTTGGGGAACAGTATCTTTGTGTGCAGGCTGGAAAGGCATCCAGCTGAGTTTTGTTGCAGGGAATGACTTCATTGTATTTTAAATTATTTCCATTTCTCTGACACAGCGAGGATGCTGCAAAAGGCAGAGCAAAAGCTCCAAGTTTTTTATTTCCAGAGGTTACTGCACCAGCTCCCTTGGGGCTGACGGGGCAAGTGAAGGACAGTGCTAGTGTGATTTCCTGAAGAACTGAAGTTTATGCACATGCTCTTTCTGTCAGTAGTATGCAATAATTTTTAAGCTCACTGGCTGTCCCAGCCAAGTTTGAATAGGGCAGATGGTTGCAAGTTCTGGGAAAAGCCCTTGTTCTGAGTAGATTCCAGTAATTGCCCCACCTAGGGAAAAAGCCCGCCTTGGCTAATCATCCTATGCATACTGCCAGGCTGGGGTCATCCTATAGCTGAATGAGGCGAGAAAGAAGGCAAAATCTGCGGGAAAACCGGGTTCTTGAGTTCTGTTGCTCATGGAACAGCTTGTTTAACTCTTACCTTGGCATTGGACAGAATAGTCTAACTCAACTAACTATTGACCTTCCAAACTCTCTCCCCCATAGAAAAAAACTTCAAAGAATGAAGGTGACGGTATATATTCACCCATCTCCCTTTAATGGACATTGGGGTGGAGGGTTGGGACCAGCTACCAGGCAGGAGGTGACAACGGTTCCCCAGGAGCCTGCTCAGCGATGAGGCTGGGCTGGGTGTGCAGATGGGAGCCACGGCGGTGTCAGCTTCGACAGTCCCTGCTAGCTCGTTTCCTCGGTACCTAGGGGTTTGGACTACCTTGTGCTCCCACACCAGTGCAGCCCTCTCGCTGCTCACATGATGTTGTTTTGGCATGGGAACTGTGTTCCCACTCTTGGCTTACAGTAACGTTTGTGTCCATTTCAGGGAGGAAGTTTGCTCTTGAAGAAGAATAAAGATTTTTTCTCTGCAAAAACATCTGACAACAAACTTCTGCGTAAAGAGCCAATATCGGATACCTCATGCTCAGCCCAAAATAAAGCAGAGCCAAGCTCCCTCCAGCAGTATGATGCTCCACCCCTTCAAATGGATTTCCAGGACCCAGGCTGGGGGAAGAGATGGAAGTATACCAGCAAATCCTGAATTACAAACGTTGGGGAATTGGGATTTCAGTAGAGAGGAGAAAGGTACAGTGGCAACAGCCTTCAATCTTCACTTTTTTTTTGTTCCAGACTTCTTAAAATAGCCTGCCTAATGCCTCCAGTAATTCTGTTGTTCTAAACAAAAAGCAACATTTATGCTTTCAAGCATTTTCAAATAGATACACTGCCAGCAATGCCGAAAGCAGAGAAATTTCAATGTATACGATAATTCCTAGGTTTATAGCTAATTCTAGCAAATTATTTGCGCTTGCTTTCTGGAATTCTGTAGAAGTTTAAATGTCCTAACTTAGCACTTCTTATATATTTATTGCTTGCTAGTAAATGAAATTAATCTGCCATATTTCAACAGATTACATTCAGGCAGTTTCGTTATTTTCATATGTATTTAGAATGATGTGAAGCTTCAAAGAAAACATTTTATTATTACTCTTCAAAACTCTATGCTGAAGTTGATATTGTCTGCACTAACATAACATGGTGTCTGTCCATTATTTCTTCCTCAGTCCCTTTCTAATCCACCAGAACTAAAGCCCAGTAAATGATAGAATATTTTTTTCATGTTTTTGTAGTCCTTACTGAAATAGTGAAGAATGGAGGAATGTATTCACTTTGTTCTGAAGAGCCAGGAAAATTATAGACTTAGATACAGTTAGCACTGGAGAAAAAAAATCAACTTAGTTATATTTTCTGTAGATCAGCCATAGAGTTTGATGCAGTAATATCAATACAGAGGTGTGAGCTAGGATTCCACTGAAAGCAGAAGCATTTAACTGTACCAGCAATACACATCACAAGGCTTCATGCCCTCATCTGGTGGATTATCCCATGGCACAAATTGCCCAGTGTGAAGAGCTGCGGGTGAATTAATTTTAGATGGGTGGCCAGCACTGTCTATATATACCATTGAGACCACATTTTAGGGCAAAGCTTGGATTTAAATGATGGATCTTTTGTGTACAGACCCTGTGGTTTGGGCTAAACTGGTTAACATGCGAACAGCTCTAACTTTTGCTGCTGGGTATTGCGTGGTTTCTAAAAGGGCAGTAACAGCAAGGTGGCTCCTCTGAATTCTGCTGCTTTTGGCTGCTAAATTTTAGCAATGATACAATGGCTAAAAGGAATATTAATATTAAACTGTCTGTAATGTATTCCAGTGAATTCCACTAATCTTTTTTTCATTGGTTCCATTTAAATTCTTACTGCTTCCAAGTAGCTTCTAGAGGGAAACCACAGTACTGCATGCGTAAACTGCAACAGGAAAGGATTTTAGCGAACATTACTGTGTAGAGTTGCTTACTGTAGACGAAACTGAATCCTGGAACCCTCATACCTTTTGGATTGAAAGACAGGAAAAACTGAAAGTCTAAATGGTATTGAGTAATCCTCAAACCACATATGCTTCCCTACATTGTTTTGGACAGTGGCTTCACGCCAAGCTCCTCTCAGCTCTGTTCAAAACAGAGTAATACAAAACCCATGAAAACCATAGCCCCGATTTCCAGATTCTGTTGGCTCTCCTACGGCAGCCTTGATTTGAGATGAAATGACACTCCTAACTGTTGTCACCATCAAAAGTCTCCGTTGCAAACTTCAGAGAATTTTTTTTTTTTGGCTTGTTCAGCAAAGTGCTGACTCTTTCCTTCCTACCCACAAGACTCTGCAGGGTTGAGCAGCAGAGGACAACTCAGACGTCAGTATGTTAGTATTCAAATTAGGGCCATACATGTTGCAAAACAAATATCTTGCTGAGAGGAAGTCCAGACAATCCTGATCTTTTTCCCTTACAGCTGTGTGGTGCCGTAACTCTGCTCCCGCATACATACACAAGGCTTCTGTGTTTTGCCAAGCACAAATCCCTGGACGCGGGCTGTGAAGTGACAAAGCATGTACTTTATGGCCAAGGACTCCACCTATACCTCTAAAAAGCCACAGAAGTCAGAGTTCAAAGGCCTGTCTGTAATCATGCATTTGTAGGCAGCTTGACGTTCTCGCCTGACCTAGTTGCAACAACTACAGTCGTTTTGTGCACACAGCAACTTTTTAATGTCCTTCCCCGGCTAGTGTGATGCCAGATGTTTTCCTAGCAGGGCATGCTGCAGAAACCAGATCCCAAAATATGCACGTTCTCATTAGAGACGGTGCAAAGTGTATATAATCATCCTCAACCCTGTAGTCATTTTATTAACATAGTAAAACTGGTGCATAAATGGCTGCAGAAGACATAAAGCAGCTGAGGAACCCCGGGAGTCGTGCAGAGCATGGCAGCAGCAGTTCTTGGGGCCGTGCGCTGCAGTGTGTCATGCTGCGCAGGAAGCTAGGAGGAAGGACCCGATAAACCAGTTATGTTTGGGCACAGTTCGGGGGCATTTTTTCTACTTTAAAAATTAGTGCCAGCCTGGTTGGGGAAAGGTGACTGTATCTCGGCCTGGCTCAGCAACCCTTTGAGGGTGCTACCCCAGGCTGCATTTTTCTAACCCCAATGAAAAGAGTCATGGAAGAAACGTGGCAGGGGTGAAGACGCTCAGTAGTATCTTGCTTCTGTAGGAGACCTCCGCGTGAGGCTTCTCGTCCCAACTAGGATGGTAGGTGGTGGTATTCGAGGGAATGTGATACCTGTCTGCACGCTTGCTTTGCTGTCTCACTTTCTAAATCTGGCCACGTGCTGTCTGTGGTGACCTCACGTGAGGAAAGCCAGCCTAGGCCAGCGGAAGTATGAAACAGCCATAGTCACAGTGGGTGTGAGCATACACCTTGCTAGAGCCAACTGCACAGGTTGTTTATTGCAAATATGGGATCACAGATAGGCTACCTATAAATTGAGATTGTAATAGCTTCTGTGTTCTGTTTATGTTGTGAATTCCTTGAGGTAGGAAGTTGTTGTGCGATGCTTGCAGGGGGAACTCCATTATGGGTGAGGTCTTTCAGCTCAGTGTTACCTTGAACGCACTAGTTGTGCAAAGGCTGAAATTTGCCCCTCTCTGTTGCATTACCATCACAAAACCTTGTGCTAGTTTCTCACTTAGAACTCTTCGCAGGAGAACAGACGTACTAAACATCTCACGCTTGTAGCGAGTAATAGAGCAACAACTACGGATTAGGAAACGGATTTTTCTGTCTTCCACAATTGCACACACCCCCCGCCCCTGCCTTTCCATGAAGATATTTACAACCTGATGCCAAAGGGCCCCGCTCTTGGGCACGCTTTAAAACGCCGTGTCCTAGAAATCAAACCCCGAGCAGACACAGCTCCTGCTTCGTGGCCGTGACTCCCTGTGCCGGCTTCCTCGCAGGAAGAGGGGTGAGAAGGCCTGGCAGAAACCTGACAGGACGTACTACGTGCTTTGAGAGCTGCGAGTTGTTAGGAGTAAAGTAGTGTTAAGCAAAACTTCCAGTAGAACTGGCAGAAGTTCCAAGGTGAATATACAACCACGTTAAAACGCGCGGTTTTGTTCAGTGCTTGCAGCGAAACGCCTGAGCGGCCCAGCAGCTGAAATGTTGTTTTTTTTCTTGGCAGTTATTAAATAATACTGACTCCCTGTTCCTAGCAGGCATTTCACTCCTCTCAAGGCACGCGATTTACACATCTTCCCAATGCAACGCTTGACGCGCTGAGAAGCGGGCGAGGTGTGTGGCGGG